AACGGAACGTTTCTGTATTTTTATCATCATCCTTGTTTGTTAAGAACAGAATGTACGAAGTAGGATAAGCAGGATTTTTAAAAAAAGACAATATGTGTGATTTTGCACTCAAGCGACAAATGTAAGTAGCAAACACTAACGCTAGAAAACAGAATTTATGACGTCAGACGAAGAAAGAAACCTTACAGAAACAAGAAACAGAAACTTTGCTGATGAATGATGAAAAAAAAAAAACAAAAACAAAAAATATATATATATATATATATATAAAGAAATATAAATAATATCTTACATTAAAGTAAGATATGTATATTTCTTAATATATATATATTTTTTCTTACATAACATTTATATATGTATCGGTATACGATCGCTCGCCCGTATACCTACATATATTGTTGCCATTCAACATATATATATATATATATATATATATATATATATATATATATATATGGACAGATAGATAGGTAGATAGAGACTAATTGAGAGAAAAATAGAGATAGATAGATAGATATGATAAACATATATAACTAGATATAGTATAGAAGTAGATATAGGTAGATATAAAAATAGATATAGGTAAATATATATGAAAAGTATGTGTATAAAATATAAACATGAATACATACATATATATACATATGTGTGAGGTGTATTTATATATATATATATATATATATATATATATATATATATATAATATATTATATATATTATTATTTATATATTATATGCATATTATTATTAGAAAGCGCTCAATATGAGAGATAGAGCTAAAATATAAAGATATAGGTAGATATAGATATGTATATATATATATATATATATATATATATATATATATAGAGAGAGAGAGAGAGAGAGAGCGAGAGATAGATTGATAGATAGATATAGATATATATGCGTAAAAATTCAGATATAACTAAAATATATCTATAAAAAGCCAATATGAATAAAGACAAAAAGAATCGTTTCTGTATAGATATAGATAGACAGATACAGATATGGATAGAAACAAATATGGATCTAGATGTAAATAAATATATATATATATATATATATATATATACACATAGATATGTAAAATTTCAGATATATATATATATATATATATATATATATAAAAACGATGTCTGTAAAATGACAATATGAACAAAGATAAAAGAAAAAACTTATTATAGCCGACGCGTTTTGTTCTCCGATAGACTTCATCAAATCTATCAGAGGATGAAGCGCGCACATACGAATTTTATGTGGAGGAGCAAACATAAGAATTTTATGCGGGGAGCAAACATAAGAATTTTATGGGGGGGAAGCAAACATAAAAATTTTTTATGGGTGGGGGAAGCAAACATAAGAATTTTATGGGTGGGGGAAGCAAACATAAAAAAAAATTATGGGGGAAAAGCAAACATGAGAATTTTATGGGGGAGCAAACATAAGAATTTTATTGGGGAGCAAACATAATTTTATGGGGAACAAACATAAGAATTTTATGGGGGGAAAAAAGCAATCATAAGAATTTTTATGGGGAAACCAAACATAAGAATTTTATGGGGTGAAAACAAACATAAGAATTTTTATGGGGAAGAAAACATAAGAATTTTTATGGGGAAAGCAAACATAAAAATTTTATGGGGAAAGAAAAACATAAGAATTTTATGGTGGGGGGAAGCAAACATAAGAATTTTATGGGGGGGAAAGCAAACATAAATTTTATGGGGAAAGCAAACATAAGAATTTTTATGGGAGGAAAGCAAAACATAAGAATTTTATGTGGGGGGAAAGCAAACATAAGAATTTATGGGGGGAAAGCAAACATAAGAATTTTATGTGGGGAAAACAAACATAAAAAATTTTATGGCGGGGAAAAGCAAACATAAGAATTTTTTATCAGGGGAAAGCAAACATAAGAATTTTATGGGGGCGGAAGCAAACATAAGAATTTTTTATAGAAAGAAAACATAAGAATTTTATGGGGAAAACAAACATAAGAATTTATGGGGGGAAGAAAACCTAAGAATTTTATAGGGGGTAAATTAAAACATAAGAATTTTATGGGGGGAAGCAAACATAAGAATTTTATGGGGGAAAGAAAACAAGAATTTTATGTGGGGAAGCAAACATAAGAATTTTATGGGGGTAAAAGTAAACATAAGAATTTTATAGGGGAGCAAACATAGGAATTTTATGGGGAAGCAAACATAAGAATTTTATGGGGAAGCAAACATAAGAATTTTATGGGGGAAGCAAATGCAGAATTTTATATTGCAGCAGGTATTGAAAATTAAATATGTCGCTAGTGTTTCAACTGTTTTATTTAATTTAAGAATGCTCATAAATATACTTCAGATTGACTGAAAGTCAAGGTAAGCTATAGAAATGATAGTAAACAATGGAAGCTACTAAATGATTAAAGTATTAGTAGTTAATACACAAAAGTAAGTAAATGTTATTGTTGATAATTTTTTTAATAATGTAATCATTATTTATTGTAATATAGTCTTAGTAATTAATTTATTTTTGCATACTGTACCTATGAAATGTATTGAGTATGTTCCAATCCTCATAAATACGTTAGACACTATTGTCCATGGGGGTAATATGCTGTCTAAGTAGTCCACCACTATCAGTGGTTTACCTACTTCACGCCGCTGGCGAGTATTGTATTTTGTTGATGTTCTAAAGATTACCATTTCATTTCCAACCTCCGTTTTGGTTACTCCTCATTCAGTAACCCTTTCTAGGTTACCACATTTATGTATTTATATATTCTAAAATTGGAAATAGGGATAATTACTCTCTCTCTCTCTCTCTCTCTATATATATATATATATATATATATATATATATATATATATATAATAGCTGTTACTCGTATTCGAGGAACCATGTCTACTAGGGCCATTAGCCAATCACAATTCCAGACTCTCGCTCAGGCACATTTGTGTTTGTTTAACATCCACAGAGCCAACTTGTGGTTTCTACGCAACTATGGTGAAACAGACCTTAGTTACAGTTCTGGGAAAGGACGTGTTATCTAGAATGATCAATAAGCTGAACAACACTAATGTGTGTGTGTGTGTGTGTGTGTGTGTGTGTGTGTGTGGTGGGGGAAATGTATGATAAATTGAGAAAGTTTTCATGCGACGCGTTTCGTCGCTTCTGACTTCATCGGAAGAAACGCATCACACGAAAACTTTTTCGACTGTTATACAATTTTACCTGTAGAATTGTAGTTTAAAAACATATATATATATATATATATATATATATATATATATATATATATATATAAATAGGCACACACATTTACATTTATATATATATATATATATATATATATATATATATATATATATATGTATGTATGTATGTATGTATGATAAAATATGATTAATATGCTAATTTATGGGTTAAAGTGCTAAATATAAAAGGTATAAGCATATCTAATATAAAAGTAGAAGGTGACTGATTAAGGGATAGGATATAGCATAAACAGACTGTCACCTCTGGTGACAGTCTGTTTTTATGCTTATCCTTAATCATTAGCCTATGTCATATAACTCATATATATATATATATATATATATATATATATATAAATTGGATATTTGATCAGATATATACTTAGCAAAACACATATTAAATCAAATATTTTCGAATCTAAAATTACTCACGTTCGTCATTATTATGTGTAATCGTAAAACATAAAACATAATCTTAGTTCGATGAAATCCTAAAAGCCGATCCGAGCCATACGAAAACTTTTCCACTTTTTCATACCCTTTTATATATATATATATATATATATATATATATATATATATATATATATATATATATATATATATATATATATATATATATATATATATATATATTCGCTTGTTTATTTATATTTTTACATCAGATCTATATATGTGAGTGTGTACGTTTCAAAAAATTCTATTAACATGACATTTACCTGCATGTCTTTATACGGAAAAATTAAGTGCAAGTTTGTACTTTATTAGATGTTTTTTCACGGAGAAAGCGACAGAAAAATATATATATATATATATATATATATATATATATATATATATATATATATATATATATATATATATATATATATATATATAATCATGAATGGGCATAATTGGTTTTAACTGAATCCAATAGGTATTAAATCATTGCTTTCTCAGAGCTATAAAATTACTGTCTCTTTTTTTGTATGTTTCTTATGCGCCTTAATAAATGGAAACAAGCAGCCGTATGTGAATACCATTTCTGCAACGAATCGGGATATGTCGTCTGTTTTCGTTCGTTTATTTTATTTTTTTTCTTTCTTTTTTTAATTTGAATAAATGCATCCATATTATTTTCCCGGACAGAAATTTCTCTAGTCAGCTGGTTTTTCTTTTTTTAAATTTTAAATTATTTTTTTTTCTAATTTTCGCATTTGTATATTCTATTTTGATACGAGCGTATCTATATGGCTTCTTAGTCGCTTGAGTATATGTTTTGTAAATGTGTAAAGTCACTGGCTAAGTCTTGATGTGGATAAACTTCGGAGAAACGTACACACAAGCGGATCAATAATTCCGTAGCCCAACACACTGTGCTTAACTAAATTTAAATCTGACATTTCCCCGCTGCAATGTTCGAGCGACATGGTTAATATTCGTCAGGGAATTACGTGGCTTGACAAGGAAAGAAAATATATATATGTTGCACAAAAGAAACGTTTTTGTCATAGGTAGGCTACTGAGATATTGATGCAGCTAGAAATCTACCTATATACTTGCCATATTATATTATTATATTCGCCATATATTGCAATATACACAGCATTTCCAGAATGGTACGTTATAAAAAAAAAGATTTATGTTTATTGATTATCTCTGTATAATGTCTCTGGGAATGTTTTCTGGAAGTAGAGTCTGAGGAAAATGGAAGTGAAAAAAAATGAACACAAAGTTTATAATGAGTTCTCATAAGACTCTTTTTACCGACAGGATTGGCAAATAATGGGCGGATTTGTGTAAAAGAAGAAAAAGAAGAAGTAAAATAAAGCTAAAGTTTTGCCATCAAAACAGGAAAACCTAAAAGTTGTATGGAATAGAGAAATACCTTCTCTTTAAGTACAGCAAAAATGTTACCTTATATTCCGTGAGTAGGTAAATGGAAATTTAGTCGTTTGTACTACGGAAACCAAGTTCGGAACTCCGACGTAACTTTGTAAGGCTGTGGTGCTTATACAACGAGACACTTACTGATATCTTGTTAACAGAATAGAAGTGGAGATTTTGTGGTTAAATGAATAAAAATGACTATTAACCCTGGGTTTGAAGTGGCTAATGTTAAAAATGTTCAGGAAAGCTACCCTGTGGGAGTCAGTTCCACAAAATGGTAGTTATTAAGTCAAATAAAAATTGGGGAACTTTCATCTTACGTTTGGAACCCGGAGGATTGATTTGATTTTTAGAGGCTTATAAACAATTTGAATTAGTCACCTCGGAGTTTCGAGAATGGATAATATCCTGGGGCGTATACAGACCCCAATACAAAAATTCTTGTCGGGTTACAATTATATAAAATATTGTTGTACTACTGAAAAGAGCAAATAATCACATGTAATCTCCGTTAATCTATATATTAGAATATGTACTGAAGATAAAATTATTCATTGAATTGAAAATTATAATAAATTTGTTGCATAAAGATAAGTTGTGAATTGTTGGTGAAGCACATCAATACAATAATACAGGAAAGTTTTATCCATAAAAAGTAACCAAAACAATAGAAATCAATAGAAAGATATTACATTATTTTGCTAAACTCATAATGAGATAATGGGAGAACTGAATAAATCTCTCTCTCCCGCTCTCTCTCTCTCTCTCTCTACATCCTTACGGGACTCTCGATAGATTCCACCTCCGGAAAAACGGCTTCGTATAATGTTCCCCTTTGGGTTTTGTAAAAAGAAAAACAATCACACGGAAATTGGTCCGGTGAGGAGGGAAGTTGTCCCTGTATGGCGATTTTCTTCTAGGATGCTCAGGGCGTTATGAGCCACCGAGTTATCTTGGTGAAGTAACCACGGGTTATATATATATATATATATATATATATATATATATATATATATATATATATATGTGTGTGTGTGTGTGTGTGTGTGTGTGTGTGTGTGTGTGTGTGTGTGTGTGTGTGTTGTATCCATAAAGAGGTTACAGAGAGAAAAGGTGGTACTCGGTGAAGAACAGTAAACATGTGCGTAGATGAAAGAAAATACATTACTGAAAAGACAGGCGATCAGTTAGCAAGATTAATTCCCAAGGCATTTCACCTACCTCCCCGCGAGGCAGGATGTGGCACAAGGCCGTTTTTTAATGCGAGTTCAAAAACCTAGGCCGTAAGCTCAGACAAAAATTACCCGTAGACCGCGTATACACGGGGTTGGGTAGCTGTCTAACACCTCAGACGAGTTTCTTCCCTTCGGCATAGCCTCGTCTGAGTTCCTCTTTGCCTGAAGGCAGAGAGTTCGACCAGCACAGCTGGAGACGAATCTCCAACTAATTGCCGAAGCAAGGTTATTTACTCCCCACCCTGCGTGGCAGTATGTGGCACAAGGCCGTTTTTTAATGCGGGGTATAAAACGGAGCCCGTAGGCTCGGGCAAAAATTACACGTAGACCCCATATATACGGGGTCGGGTAACTGTCTACCACCCCAAACGAGAATCTGCTCTTCGGCATAGACTCGTCTTGGTTCCTCCCCGCCTGAAAATAATGAAAAGGCATCTGGAATGTCATGAAGTCTAGAAGGAGCATTGTTTTAAAAAACGTTAGCGAGAAGTATCATAAGTATTAAGCTAGCTTAGGACAATTATTGTTCATGTAGGTAAGATCGAACTTAGTAAATATTATTGATGAACAGGACTAGATTGCGGTGTATTACTCCACAGTGTGATGCACTCCACGCTGCCCTTTTATAGCTAAAGAAGTTGTTTTATATTTAACGATTAGAGTGTCAAATTTCTATGAGATCACTCGGTGTAGTTGATCTAACTGGAGTATATAATCGCAGTGGTGAACAAGAAGAAAACATTCATCACAATCGTTTCATCAAGATAGCGTCCGGGTTTGATGATTTAACTGATTGAAAATACGACATATATCATGATTAATCATCGATTATGATTACAAGTTTACTTTTCTTCAGTGCTGTTGTATTGAAACGAAGCGTGAATGGTTTGCCAGTGAAATTTAACGCAGCATCGAATGATAAACATCTTTAATCTCGCTCTCTCTTTTTGATCAAATAAATTTGCATCACTTGTTCAAATTTACGAATTTAGCACAAAAGAACTAACTTTCAAATTGTGCGCATATCGTAAATTTCGGCGTACAAATCACGTTTTCAAGCCTAAAAAATCATTCCAAACCTCGAGGTCGACTTATATGGCGGGTCTGAAAGGCAAACCTTTTATCACCAAGTTGTAAACAAGTAGACAGCACTTATAGTTACTTTACCCAGCTTCTCGTAATTCCAGCAGGCTGCCATAAATATATCCTACTAAAACTGATGTTCGGTGAATATATTTGGCATATTAACACAATATTGCAGTTAGTCACGTGACAGTGATGACGTCACTGGTTATTTGTTTATATCATTGATGCAAATGGCGGATGAGTGATACTGGGGTTTATAATAACATACGGTACATAGAAGTACTATCAAAAAACTACTTGGTATGGTGCGTTATTTACTGTATTAATATTTTATAAGAGTTGATGATTTTAATGTATTTATAATTAGACCTGACGAATTTTAAATGTTCACTAAATTATACCAATATAAAGATTTTCACAATCGAGAAACGCGAGAGAAGAAACTGCAAGCACAAAACTTACGGTTTTCAACTGGAAAATTGATGAGACCTAGCTGCCAAACTAGTACTGCACTTATATTTCTTAAAGTCGAAATATCAAACAGACAAATTCATTAGAACAGGTACAATTAAAATATTTATAGAAAATGCACAGGTAAGTTACGTTACGGCAATGATAAAATGTTTGAAGCCGGGATGCCAGTTCAGGACCGATAACATAGCAAAATCTATGGATTTTATCAAGAATCTACAAATACATTGTAGAAGAACCAGCTTAGATGTTAGAGCAATAATTGGTACATTTATGAGATATTTTAGTATTGTTCATCGAATATAAAAACCACGAAGAGTACAGTAAGGACACCCAACACCACGTAAACGGCGTCAAATCAGCCTCATTCTTTTCTCTTTTTTAAGGAGGAAGTCCCACTCGGACAGCTTCATATCAAGAACTGTCACTTTGTGGAAAGGAATCCTGAGAAGGTGCTTCTTCTTCAAATGCAATTTTAATCTCTTCGAGACTAAGATGAACTCATATCTATCCGACATATCCTTACGATACCTTTTCCTTCATCCTTTAATCATTTATAGCAATCTAATTCGGTAACTCTCTATCTTGATTGACTAATACTCTTTGTAATCGGTCTAGAAATGTCATTGCGAATTAATTGCAAACCAAACAACAGTTTTATCTATGCATTGTGAGTGAAACTAAATAGAGAAAAATATTCAAAAGCCGTCGATTTGTGAGATGAGGTATAGTAATCACTTACAATATTTACATTGTCCGGACTGTTGTCCTCATCTTTATTGTCATGTTCACAACGTTTCGGCCGTTGTGTGCTCCGGTCTTCTTCAGGTGATTGGAATTTTGAACATGAGGACACATGGCGTAGTGAATAAAAGTGCTGGTTGGATCAAGTGACTTCACCCAAAGAGTTGTGAGTTCAATAGCTGGATACGGCAATGATGGACAAAAAAAAAACTGAGAGTTGAGTTAAAGTGAGATAATTGAGACACCCAGGAGGTGGCCTGGAATGAGGAATTAGAAAAGTCTACCACGGTGAACGAAATAAAGAGTTCAGTTCGAAATTCCAATCATCTGAAGAAGGTCGAAACATACAACGGCCGAAACGTCGGGAACATGACAATAAAGATGAGGACAACCGTCGATAGTTGTAAGAGCTTTAAGTCAAAAGTCATCGTTATGAAGTGTTTGTGTGTACTGATCTTGTTTAACTACTGATTACGCCAGATTATGCATTCTCTCCCGAGAACTATGTTGCCCAAGTCATATTTGTGGCATAAATCACAGATTGTCTTTGAGAATGATGAAGAAATAATATGGATTTGGAAAGGCGTTGCAAACTGAGCCAACCCCATTCCAGTCGAGTCCATCACATTCACTTACGTGGGAAAAGGTATGCATCCTCTTCTTCTTCCCCACTGAAGGAAACTAAGCCAACTCAATAATTTTAGACTGACAGATGCATATCTATTGCATTAAATGAAGACATACATATTCGATTTCTAGTTTAAGATTAAAAATTAACCAGAATTACGTTAAATAAATGATCTACAATTGATCTCAATCTATAATATGCTAAATGTATTTGTAGATATTTGTAACTTTTAACCGTGTTATCGTTATCTCTCTAGATCTTTTGACGCCTGGAACCAGTGCTTTTAGAACAATGACCAAATTTGAAGATATTTACGACTTTCGGATGCCAAAAATAGACACATTGAAAGATCAGAGTAATTGATCTTAATGACCAACTATTTGAATGTATTTACGATGCTGATGAATCAAAAATCAACATGAAAGATAAGACTACTTGCGATTTACTTTGTGACAATTCTCAACTAGTTCAAGATATTTACGACGACGTGAGGTTAAAAATCGACTCCTTAATAGGAGGCACTGTAGAGTAATGGATAGCGGCTTGGAGAGCCGAGTTCGAATTCCAGTCGAGTCCATCACATTCACTTACGTGGGAAAGGTATGCATCCTCTTCATCTTCCTCCCTGAAGGAAAAAAAATCTTCTTCGTCAATAATGTATCGAAAGATACATGATCGCCTAAGCGTGTATCACGCATGACACATAACTGAATAGATCAAAGTACTTGCGACGTAGGTATCAGTGTCTTTATGAGAATGGTCAAGTGCTTGCAGATA